CTACTCTGTACTGCAGTTACCAGTGCTCTTACTATTTTGCACATTTTTTATTGATTATTTTGCACTTTTAATTTGTGTTTCCTGTTTTTATTTCGGTATCATTATTGTTTTTGGTATCATTATTTTTTTTCGGTATCATTATTGTTTTCTTCACCTTTGGTACAACCAATATCGTTATTAATTTTGCTCTGTACAGATTTCTTTCACTAGGAACAATATGGTCCCACAACTAAAATATTTTCAAGTGCGAAATAAGACCAACACCATCAATGTTTGCAAAATTCAAAAGCTTCTCTGTTTGCATTGATTTATGTACATTTTAATATTATTAAACCAATATGGTAGGTTACAATCTAGCTTAGAAGCAACATGTTTTTTCCTTTTTTCTTTTTCAACCTTAAATCACTTAATAGAAGATAATTTTTTCTTATTATTTTTTATTTAACTTATTCATATATTATATTATTTAAATTTAAAATTTTTTATTTTTTACTTAAATAAAATTATTATTAAATTATTTAAATAGTTAGAAACAAATTTTTTCTTTTATCATCAAAGAATGAATTCTCTTTCAAGAAGTTTCGCCTTCTAGCCTTAAACACATTTGCTTCCCTCTTTACTAGTTCTAGTGCTCTTCGTGGAGAGGAGGGAAAGATTGCTGAAATCTTCAACTCCTTAGATTAGGGAGTGGAGCTTACTATTCATTGCAAATAAAAAGACGATGATTTTGGAGTGCAAAAACTTTTTTTATGGTCAGCAATATCATTCCCAACATTTGGAGGTCACCCCTATTTTACTGTAGTTTTCCATGGCTAGGCAATGTTCATTGTTTAAATATTTATGTAGACCAAAGTGATTATAACAAATGCAGTGAGTCAACAACTTAATTAATTTAGTGATTATTTATTTTTTTTGTTAAAAATAAGAAATTATAAGTTTAAGTTGCATGACATGCGAATAGGTTAAGATAAAAAATACGAGATAATTGCTTCCCATTGTACAAAAAAAAAAAAAAAAAAAAAACTTGCTGGTCCTTACCTTGCAAATATAAATCAATGGCATCCTTGGAGTAAATTTGAGTTACATATCATGTGAAAGCTTGGGTTTGAGACATCATTAGGGGCATGTTTTTTCATATTGTCTCAAATCAATATTTTTCATTTTTAATAGATTATCTATTAAAGAAAAATTAAGTGTTTTGCAAACTAACAAATTTAGAAGAGTGCGACATGTTGATTGCACGTTTTAATAAAAAATTTGTAATCTTAAGTAGCACAGTATAATATGTTCTAATAAATTAAGGAGTGAAAAAAGACTTCGACCATACCAAAACCTATCAATTTCAACTTTGGACCATTAACCCCAGTTGCATTCGAACGGCCCTGTAAACAAGAAAAGACTAAGAGAATGTTTAGTGAAATTTATAAATATTTCAATTTTTTGATAATGTTTATATTTTATAAGTTTAAAATTTTATTTTAAAAATTTATATTTTTTAATTGTTTTTTAACTTTAAAACGATTGTAAACAGTAAAATTCAAAAAATTTCAAACATTTATTTTTTATAAATTTGTTTATTCACTTCTTATTCGTTTTTTTTTTATTTTTAAAAGTAAATTTTAAATTTTTGTTCCAATAAAAATTTAAATTTATCACTCGTAAATAGTATAAAAAAAGTAAAAATTCAAAGAAACACTACCAAACAGGCCTTAAGGGGGTGTTTGGTTTCTAAGCCATGTCGTTTAAAATTTTTTAAACTATTTTTTATCAAGTTATTTATATATTTTTACACATTAATATTATAATAAAAAAAAGTAAAAATGACATTTTTAATATTTATTTTTTATAATGCAATTCTCAACTTATAAACTTTTCTTTCCACACTTGAAAAAAAAAAGTTTTTTGCTAATTTTTTCTCTATAAGACTTAATAATTTTTCTATTAACCTTCTTTATACAAATTTCTTATTAAATACAGAAAAATTAACAACTCAACAAAATTTATTTATAAAATTTATCAATTTTTTATATAGTATTTAACAATTTTTAGTATAATTTTTTTCTAATTATTTTCCCAATAGAAACTTTACTGATAAATTTCACCCTCTACGAAACAGGTCCTAAATAAATCTTATCTGGGCCGCCCATCACGGAGAGATTGGTTGATAATCAGGACGTGGTTTCTGGAGAGTAAATGGCATATCTGTGCCTGTGTAGTGTGTACTGCTGTACTGCATGAATTTATTTATTTATTTTTTTTTTCTGTTGGGGTCGTAAGGGAATTCCTGAATTCTAATTGAACTGCGCTTTTAAAAATTTTCTTTGGTTTAAGAGAAGGAAATAGTAGGAGAGGAAAAAGTATTATATAATGAATTAAATTATTCTGTTGACTAAACAGCTTAACTTAATTGCTCAAAATAATCTCAATTTCCCCTCAATCCCGTCACCCTTTCATTGTTTCTCTCAAATAAAACAAATAATAAAGATATTTCAATAATTTCATAGCTTAAAGTGCATTCTTGGGGGGTCGACAATTGGTTGATAGTGTTTTAGTTTTAAATGAAGTAGTGGATGAGGTGAAGAAGATGAAGAGGCAAGCTTTTGTATTCAAAGCAGATTTTGAAAAAGCTTATGATTGTGTAGATTGGGAGTTTTTAGACTGGATGATGAGTCGTTTTGGTTTTGGCACTAAGTGGAGAAGATGGATAAAAGAATGTCTCTCGACAGCAAGGGTGTCGGTTCTGGTGAACGGGAGCCCAACGGAGGAGTTTCAGATGGGAAAAGGTTTACGACAAGGGGATCCGCTATCTTTGTTCCTCTTCTTGATGATTGGTGAAGGGTTACATGGTTTGGTCAAGAAGGCAGAAACTGTAGGTATGTTTCATGGGATACCAATTGGTACAAGGGGGTTGGAGGTGTCTTTACTCCAATTTGCTGATGATACAGTCATTATGGGAAGAGCTGATAGTTCGAATATTTTTATGGTGAAATCTATTTTGAGGTGGTTTGAGTTAATGTTTGGACTGAAGATTAATTTTAGTAAAAGTAGTGTCTGTGGATTTAATGTGTCGGAGAGGTGGTTGAAAGGGGCATCAAGAGTTTTGTAGTGTGGAGTTGGAAAAACACCTTTCATTTATTTAGGAATGCCAGTTGGAGGTAAACCAAGGAGCAAGGAGTTTTGGGTTCCGGTTGTTAACAAGTTTCGTGCCAAGCTTGCTGTCTGGAAATCCGCTATGTTGTCGGTTGGAGGCCACATTACTCTACTCAACTCGGTACTTTCTTCTTTACCTACTTTTTATATGTCTCTTTTTTTGATGCCAAGTTGTGTGGTTTCTGAATTGATTAGCATCCAGAGGGGTTTTTTTGTGGGGTGGGGCAGAAATGAAGAGGAAGATACCATGGGTTAATTGGGAGCTAGTTTGTTGTAGTAAGATGAAGGGTGGTCTAGGAGTGCCGGATCTATGTAGGAGAAATTGGGCTTTACTTGGGAAATGGTGGGCTAGATTGGGTGATGGAGTGGAGAATTTATGGCAACAGGTGGTTAGGGAGAAATATTATGGAGGTAGATATTACTGGAGTAGAAAGTGGACGAGTGTCTAAGATTTGGAGTGATGTTGTTAAAATAGGAGGGATGGCTGTGGGTTTAAGGAATTTGTTGGTAAATGGTTTTAGGTGGGAGGTAGGAGATGGTAAAAGAGTGGGGTTTTGGAGAGAGATCTGGGTTGGGGATAAATCGTTGCGAGATTTATTTCCCCGATTATATGAGTTGGTTGTTAAGGAGGAGGGTCTAGTTAGTGAGATGGGTGACTGGGAGGAAGATAGGTGGCGGTGGAACATGGAGTGGAGACGGGAAAGGAAGGGTAGAGTGAGGGATGAAGAGGAGGGCTTATGGGAGTTGTTGGAGAGTGTCCAGTTGAAGAAAGGCAAGGAGGACCACTGGTGGTGGATACATGGACTAGATGGACAGTATGTGGTGAAAACAGCTTATGAGGCTTTGGCGCCTATAAAGTGCACTCTTGTGGACCAGTTTTATAAGATGATCTGGTGTCGACTAGTCCCTTCCAAAGTTGGTTTTTTTGGATGGAGATTATGTCTTGATAGACTCCCCACAAATTTGAATCTACAAAAAAGAGGGGTGGTTTTGCAGGAGGAGAGTTTAATGTGTGGCTTGTGTGATGGGGTGTTAGAGGAAGCTAACCATCTTTTTTGTACATGTAAGGAGGCTTGGTTGGTTTGGGGGAATGT